CTCTCTCTCTCTCTCTCTCTCTCTCTCTCTCTCTCTCTGCTTTTGATTCCAACATTACATTTTCGTGACTTTGATTACGCTCGCGGTAATGCACCCGTCTTGATATGTCAACGTCGTTGGAAAATAGATCATGAGCGGCGTGCAGCCATCGGGGACGTCGTACAAGTTTATTTAGAGCTCCTTTTAATGCCGGAAATTTACCCGCGGTTGCAATGACCGTCTTAGAAACGAGCGGAGCGAGGAGATCGCGAATGTAACGTAATTTTGAAACCTTGGCGAACGTTGCGAGACCGCCGGAAGAGGAAAATGGAAGGCTCTGGTTATAGGAAAGTTCGAGTCAATATTCTTAGCGGGATATCTGAACGGAAGACGATAACTACTTCGTTTTTTAACGTGTATATATATATCAAAATATCCAGGAACGCTGAGATGCATGTCATCACCGTAATTGAATACGTCGATGAACAGAAATGACACACAGCAGCGTGCGAAGGAAGCGGAACGCAGGAAAAAATTGAGATATTGATAATATTCCCGCTAACGTCAATGGGTGTTGTATTGAACTGTTATGTGTGAAAAATCGACTTTACATCAACTATAATGGGGACAGTTTCAGCGATAAATAAGTTAATCGCAATAAAACTCCACAAATGTCTGATCTTCTTCCAAGTCGGAAATCAATTTTCTTCGCTTTTATACGAACCAGATATTTTATAGATGAAGATAACTGCCAAAAATCTTTTCGCAAACTCGTTAACCTCAAATGATAAATTTAGTTCCTTGAAAATACTTTCTCATATACGATGTATGACTTCTCGCATAAGGAAAATTAAAGCAATCCGTGATGCGACGTGATTTTGAATATCGTAAAATCTTCCGAGATCATCTCACTTCATCACATGAGAGACCCGAATCCACCATTTCATGTGTCACGATCCGATAATAGTAATAGCGCTAATTAGATATCGCGCGGATAAAGAGGAGAAGTGTACGACGGCAGAGAAAGACTGACGATCTTCACTTCTACGATAAAGTGACACGAAGGAATGTCTGGAGGGTGAAGAGACGCGGAAGGATGGACCAGGCGAGGTTGATCGCTGGCTGGATAGGTAGGTCGGTGGTGGCGGCGGCACTCGACGATTTTTCATAATTAAAGCGGATTAAAACTTGGCAGCGAGGCCCGTAAATGAATTTGAAATTTCAAACTGGCTGCTCGCTCCTCGCGCTTATCCGCAGCGCGCCCCGCGCGCATCCTTTGTCATTCTTTCCCGGCATAAACGGATCTGCGAGGCCGCCTTTGCGCAACTTGTATAGCCGCACGCGCGCGCTCCTCCTTTTATTTCCCCGGAGTGACGCACCCCTCCGATTTAATTTACCGCAACGTCCACCACTCTTTCGGCGACGAGAGAAGCGCGCGGGTAATACTTTCGCGGTTACCCTCGCGTTTCGCAAATAACGTTGTACGCGTTGTATGAACAGAGACGTTCACGGTGCTCGAATACTTGCCAACACCGGACGAATATATCGAGACCGCAGGAGAGCGAATCGAAAATTGTTTTGAAAACGGCGCAAACACCGACGGGACATGAACTTCCGCGTCGCGTAAAGGCTTACATCGTTATCGAGCAAATAAAAAATCGATTTCCAATAAAGAAGAAAGCATGCGCGCGTAAACGCTCGTATTATTGCATAAAAATATTCTCGGGTTAACAGTACCGCGCGTTGTTTATTTGTTTTCCATATTTCAGTCCCCTCTCTCTCTCTCTCTCTCTCTCTCTCTCTCTCACAATTCCTCACTCCCTTTCGCTCACATACACCCGCACATAGTTTTGTACGAATCCATCGATGCGTAAGATAGCCGGGCGCGTCCTGTACATTTGAAACGCCGGTAACAAGGGTGGCGCGCGAGTATGCAAAGAGTAAGGCCGCTTTTCGACAGCGCCCGAATGAGACAAGGCGAGGGAACAGCTTTGCTACACGGGGATTGCAGCGAGGGTAAGTTATAATTATTCAAAATAGCGGTACTTTGTTTCAATCCGCGCGCCAGACGTCGCGATGCCTCTTATTTCGTCGACCCTAAACTCCCATCCTCCCTCTTTAAAACTGCTGCCCATGTTTTCGCCCTTTCGCGGTGAAAGATGAATCGGCCTGTGCACATTCTCTTCTAATGGCGATAATTACCATGTAAAAATTACGCCGCGCAAAGCAGGGAGCAACAAAAGGACCGTGACTCCGACGGGCAACAAAAGATTCCTCAGCACAATCACATTTATATCCATACGTCGACGTTATTTCGCGGATATTCATAATGTGAGTTAATGATCTATTAACAAACGCAAATCCTCACAAAGGTACTTTTCTAATAATCTCCGCGCAACGTAATGAAAAATCGCGGGCTTACGAAATAATTCCAAAAGGGTTAAATATGTTACGCGTCGTTATACACCGCTCATAACGATATTTATTTTTCTCGGGATTCAAGTAAGCTTTTGGAAATGAGAAGATTTACGATTTACTGCTCTTCCTCCCTTTCTCTTTCTCTCCTTTCTTTCTGCTGTTATTTCCACTCTCGCACCCTCTCTTTCTCCCTTTATCTCCCTCTCTTCCTCATTTTTACTTTCCTTCTCTCATTCGCTCCAAGATCCTTTAATAATTTCCGTTCGAATCCCGCGAGACGCGGAAGCTCGCATTCCCGGATTCCCCCTCACTCGCTTTCAATGAGCGCAGGTGAGAAGGGCAAACGAGGTGGAAAGAACGGAGGCGAGTCGAGCGTGAGAGGGAATGGGTTAATAAATAGTAACGGATTATTACTGAAATGTGAGGGGATGACGCGGAATGTAGTACGACTGCTGCTGCTGCTGCGTCGCACGAGTTCCTAAAACTATCCACGGCCTTCTGCAACTGACTGCCGTCTTATTGCCCAAGTTCGAAAACATCCCACGGGGATGGACGAGATCGGGGACACGTTCGTTCTTGCGTACAAGTGTTTCTCTATTTTTCCCACGATTCTGGCTCCCGTACCCGCGCCTTCCGGCTTTTTGGAATTCGCTTTGTCCCGAACGATCAAACTTTTCCCCGGAGCGGTCATGAACAGTACGCGCCGGACGGCACCGATCGCTTCTCGCAACTTTTCTCGTGTGTCGCCTTCTTTCTCTTGGACTGGCTGAAAATTCACCGACGGGAACACGTTCCCGTTGGTTCGAGTGTTACGCACATTCAGATTATCGCCTGCGTTTTTCCGCCCGGGTAGTCGCAGACGCGAACCTTCGCGCCAGTTACGCTCGAAGCAACGCTAGTAACGACGATTCCGCTCGTTACCTCGATATTTGGAGTCGCAGGCGAATTCGAAAAGAAGAACCACGCGCGCGCATCCGGCAGGCCGGATGCGAGGCTCGGTTGGCGGTCCATTACAACGATCGACCCAATGTGTGCAATCGCGATGATGAATCGGCCAATGCATCACGCCGTTCTCGGCCCGATTACGAATGAGCACGCACCTGAGCCATTTCTTCGGATGTCACGTCGCTTGTCCAGTTACGCGCGTTAGGCACCCCCGTTGTTTGTAATGGCGCCATTTATATCCGCGTCGCGGCCGCACCACAAAGAATCCCTGGCTGTCTCTAACCGCGTATTCCACACGGGACCCGAAGGAGACCCGAGGATAAACGTAAGTTTGTATTAACGTTGAATATCATAAAGCTACGCGCGGCAAATGATCTCCCTCGGAAATCTCCTCGGAAGAAAAAACGGCCTCGGACTCGTCGTCGAGCGATCCGTCGTTGAAATTCAGGCCAGGGATTCCGCCATTCCCATCGTATAATATCGTAATATACGTTGAGCTTTTTTCACCGATGTACAAAAGATCTAACTGAACGAATTAAAAAAAAAAAAAGGAAAAAAGCCAGCGAGTGAAAAAAAGATCGCACGACACAGCACGTCGGTTTTAAAGGGAGAATTATTATTTCAGCTAACGCGCGTAACGTTAAATTTAAAAAATTGAAAAGATACGGTCGTTTTAACCCATCCCTTTTTTGCAACACGATCGATTTTCCGCGAGTCTGCGCGCTTTCGATATTTCCCCGCAAAAGAATTTTCTTTTTCAATCTATCAAATGGTTTTAGAAATGTTTAACTAGTATTCGCTGTGTTTTTTTACGCTAGCAAGCGCGTGAACGTATAAGTTACCGTTTTCTTCCCCTTCCCCCTTACCCCCTTTATGTCTCTGTCTATTTCGATCGCGGCCGTGCGAGAACGCACGCGCCAACAAACGCGAAAAAAAAAACCGCCTCCTTCCGGTTACGCCGTAATATCCACGTGACAGCGCACGATGGCGCAACTTTTAATTCTCTACCAATTAATCTCTCGCCGATCCATGAATTAGTCCCGCTCGAAACCACAGCTGTCCGGATTGGAGCGTGCGTGAGAGAGGAGGCTTTTCGGCGGTACCGGCGGTCCGCGCGAGTGATAACGAGGCTCGTAAAATTGCTACGGTGAACGATGGGTCGTCGATTATTGGTGCAGCTGGGATTTGCCTGATACCAAAATCCGGCGTAAAAACCGTCGGCCGTTCTGTTCACTTCGTGCAACATTTACCTCCACGCATCAATTTTTAACGATAGTCGTCGTCGCAAATCGGTAACGCGAGATGTATAACTCGTCGCGAGATAGTAGGAGAGAAAGAGAGAAGAAGAGAAAGAAAAAAAAGTTGCACCGCCGATCGCTCCCGCGGATGGATGGATTGCGTCGATTTTTCCAATTTACGACGACGATTGAAATTTCCTGCAAAAATATTGCGGGAAAGCGCTCTTGCGGAAAACCTTGATGCGTCGTATCCTCCGTCGATATTTAGCGAACGCTCGCCTTTCTGTCGATTCGATTGCTTTCGTAAACTTTATCGAAAGTGAAAGAGAGAAGAGAAAAGAGAACGAGTACTGAGGAAAAATTTCTCTTTAAGAATCATTAAATTCCGTCTACTCCGCTGTTCGCTTATTTTTCGCCGTCTCGTTCAATTTCGCACACAGATCAAGAGAAAAAATATCTAAGAATTAATAAATATTTATTTAGTAAGAGTATTCATGGCATATCCACTTAAAAAGTGCGGCTAAAAGTGGTCCAGAATCATGAACAAAAAGGTCTGAAACCATTTTGGGTTTAAAATTAAATTTATAGTATGTAGATTACAAATATAAAAGTCTACCAAATCGATTGAATCTCAAGTTCCAGAGATATGACCGATTTGAAAATTCCATTTCCATGAAATAGTACCAGAGTGCATTTCGAGACTAATATCTCGTAAAATTTTCAATGGGGCATATCTCTGAAACCTAAGGTCTGATCATTTTGGCACTTGCATGTTTGTAATCTACGCACCACAAACTTTATTTTAAATCCAAAATAGTTTCAGAACTTTTTGGGTATGAATTTAGACCAATAGCCTGTAGGGTACACTTCATCGCATTTTTTAAATACTTTTATTTAAATAGAATATATATTTGCTTTCTTCATGATGATCTAAGGTTCACTGAGAGAAAAATATAGTTGCTTTCAGCGTTACCTATACTTTTGTGATTTTAACCATAAAAATAGTTAGGAAAACCATTGTTTTAGTAAGTGTTATGAAAAAGATGATTCTTCTAATTATTTTTCTGGCTAAAATCACAAAAAAAGTATAGTTGACGTCAAAACCAACTATATTTTTCTCTCAGTGTTTCCTTAAAGTTTTAGAAATAAGTAAATATGCTGTTAGTTTCCCATCAAATATTTACTATTTCTTACATGTTTTTTTCTCTCAGTACAGAGACCAACAGTAGCAAAGTTGCTGAACTCGACGACTTTGCGCGTTCCTACAAGGCGTCGATGAGAAGCACGGCATTAACCTCTGATGTCGTCGTCACCTCACGCACGGGTCATTAACGTTTCACACGTATTATACAGCAATTAACCCCCGACTAGAGCTTTATGTGGCGGCCTATGGGGTGAATTAATGAAGAAGGATGAAGGAGCCGCGTCGCGTCAAGTCTCACTGTCTTTCCGCACGATCAGCCGCGCAGGAAAGATTAAGAGATCTTGAAACTCACCCTCAATAAGTGGTGACGTCATCATGACCCCGATAAGTCTATTTTTTTCGCTATTAGCATGGAATACGCGAAAAATAGCCAAAAGTTAACCTATTTCCTACAGACTCATTATATTCTATTCGGACACTTGCATGCTGTCAGCGCTCACGCTTGTTTTATTTTCAACAGTTCCATTTAGTTCATAAGTATCCAAGGAAAGTATCTTATTTTCTATCGCTCTCTCTTACTGATGTTGATCATATCCCTCCTACAGCAACACGTAGTCTATTCTACATGTCTATGTTAGCCTTTGATCGTCTGCAATACCGCGCTCACCCGCATTCTACAGTCGAATAGCCAACTCTACCGCCCCCGTAGACCAATGACAGTCTAGAGGGATGAATTTATCACGACTGAAAGCTCTGCAACATCTACATGTAACACCCAAGCACACGCTGATCCTTCGTTTGAAGCCGGCGACGCGGCTCGCCGGCTTGCACAAGCAACCTAATTAATCCCAGACGCGAAGAAGAT